TCTGCAATGTGAGCAGGGCTTCACTGGGGTAGCTAATCTCTGTTGGGACGAGTCGACTGGGGCTAATGATGCAGGATAGCTTCACGAAGCTAGTCAGCTGAGGTGACTGTGAGATAGCCAGATCCCTCTCTCTCCCTTCACAGTCTCTCATCCTCCAGGGTCTTGCTCTCTTCCGGTGGCCTCTCTCTTCCTCAGGGTAGTCAAACTTCTTTATATCACAACTGGTTCTAAGAGGGGAAAATGTAAGCCACAAGGCTGAGGCCTGAAAGTCATGTGGCACCACTTCTGCTCCGTCCTACTGGTCAAAGCAAATTATGGATTCAAAGGGAGGGGAAAGATAGATGTCACCTCTTGGTGGGAGGAGCAGCATGCACTTACAGGGAAAGTGAGGTCCTGTCTACCATCTTTGATAGCCATCTTTGTAGACAATCCATTATACCTACTTACAGAAACCACCAGACCACCATCCAAGACAAGGCACTCGGGGTTTCTTTTCTAGTAGTGGTGTTAAGGACTGAATGTTCTCACCAAAACACCCACTCCTAAGGTCAGTGGTTGGTACTGGTGGTATGGCAAATATGAAGGAAACCTGTAGCATAAACCCTGGCTTTCTCTTTCCCAAGTTCATAGACAGGGAGTGAGCCACATGGTCTAACAAAAGAGATAACTTACCCAGACAGCTCTCCTTGGGCCTGCAATGTACAATTAGAAAACGATATCATCTGGAAATGCTTTGCAGGAAGTCAGGTCAGAATCACAGAAAGGACCTAAGATTGGCATTCAAGAGACCTGAAGTCTGGAGGTGGCCTCTGCCACATACTATCTCTGTGTCTCTGAACAAATCTCTGGACCTCAGTTTCCTATATGTAAGGTGAAGGGCTTTAACTAAGGTCCCCAGTACCTCTGACGCTCTCTACCTCTCCACAAACCAGACTTTTTGAATCCATCCAGAGGACAGCTGGTTCTGCACACACTGCTAAAGAGGGTCTTGGGGGTCACTGGATCTGAACAGGTGAAGGACAGATGAAGGCAGGGCTAGAGTGTTACCGAGTCCAAGCTCACTCTGCTCGCCAAACAACAGGCCAATAAATCAGGAGACAAGCTGTTGAGGCAAGGAATACGACTTTATTTGGAAAACAGGCAGACTAGGGTCCCCAAAAAACCATCGTATCTGGGTCTGGATGCCTGTTTCTTTTATAGAACAGAGAGGGGGAGGAGGTGAGGAAGTAAAGTAAAAAGGCCATTTATCTTGCAAAACATCTCCTCCTGTGGCCTGCATCAGGGAGGGGATGTGTTAATTTCTTTTTTGCAGCCATTCACAGGTGGGCAGGGTCAGATTGTCTCCCTGTGAGCTGAACAAAGGCACTTTAGTTTAACATTCAGGCACAGGGGCAGGGTTCCCTAAGGCAGGCCATTATGTATGATTATAATAACAAAAACAATGAAAAGCAAAGGTTAAATTCAAAGAAACAAATCCAACATGGAGTCAAAATTGGCTCTTCCCTGGGGCTTCCCTGGTGGCACAGTGGTTAAGAATCTGCCTGCCACTGCAGGAAACCCGGGTTCGAGCCCTGGTCTGGGACGATCCCACATGCCACGGAGCAACTAAGCCCGTCTGCCACGACTACTGAGCCCACATGCCACAACTACTGAAGTCCGTGAGCCTACAGCCCGTGCTCTGCAACAAGAGAAGCCACCACGATAAGCATGCACTCTCCACAACTAGAGAAGGCCCGCGCGCACCAATGAAGACCCAACACAGCCAAAAATAAATAATTTTTTTAAAAAAAGAAAAGGCAGGGCCCACAGATGACTCCAAAGTGACTGGGACAGTGAGACCAGGAGAGAATATGGAGACAGAAGCATTTTGGAGCTAAATATGACCAATGTGGAGGTTGTGATGATGTAGTTTTCTCTTCACCATGGAAGCATTCTATGCTCACTAAAGGAAATTTTGGAAATTATTTTATTTATTTATTTTTTTTGTGGTACGCGGGCCTCTCACTGTTGTGGCCTCTCCCGTTGCGGAGCACAGGCTCCGGACGCGCAGGCTCAGCAGCCATGGCTCACGGGCCCAGCCGCTCCACGGCATGTGGGATCTTCCCGGGGCACGAACCCATGTCCCCTGCATCGGCAGGCGGACTCTCAACCACTGCGCCACCAGGGAAGCGTCGGAAATAATTTTTAAGCTAGGAAGAAGAAAATGTCACTTCGAATTCCCATCATTCAAATGCCATCACTTTCACTACTTTGGTGGACTATCTTAGTCCTTTTTCCCCTCGTGTGTAGGTTTTGTCTTCTGGATGTAAGAAGCAGCATAAGGTAGTGAGAAAAGTGTAGTTTTTGATGTCAGAGAGACTTGAGATAAAATTCTGACTCTGTCACTTTTTTCAGGTGTCAAATGTTATCTGTATTAACTCATTTAACCCTCATACTAACCCTGTGAAGCCCCACTTCATATACAAGGAGGCTAAGGCACAGAGGGGCTAAATAAGTTGCCAAAGTCTACAACTGATAGTGACAGATGAAAGAGTTAAACCCAGTAGTCTTGAGTCTGAAGCCCACAAGCTGAACCCCTACACAGTCTTGCCTCCCACTCTTCACTGCGTGACCTTGATGGAGTTTAGTGAGCCTCTCTGCAAAGCAGAAACTATTCTCAGAGCTGTTGTGGGAATCAGAGATCACAGATGTCGAGTGTCTGGCACACAGCAAGCATCTCAAATGGGGGCTGATCATCACTTGAAAGTTTGTGTTTCAGGCAAGTTGAATCTGAGGTGAGGGTGGAATTTCCAGCTGAAGTCAGAATTGTAAGTGCAGTAAAGCAGTGTTTAGGTGCTGAAGCAACAGACGTGGCCTTCCTGGACTCCAATCTCTGCTCTGCCACCTAACTGCCACGTGACCTGACAAGTTCATTCACCTGTCTGAGCCTGTTTGCTCATCTGTAAAAGGGGAATAAAATTAGTACCTACTTTCTTGGTTTGTTTTGAGTATATGGGGCAATGCGTGGGAAATACATAGGGTTTGGGCATTGTCAGGGCTTGACGGATGTAGGTTTTTGTAATGGTGTATATGATGGAATGGAAGTAATGTGTAATGGTGTAATGGAAGTAATGATTAATCTGTAGTAATATTACCATAAGGTAACAGTCTCCTGTGTTAGGATTCTTGTATGCATAAGGTATTGAAGGAGGTAGGAATGAAATCTCAACAAAATCCTTTCTTTCCAGTAACTGCACGATCGTATGCTTCATTCCTGGTGTACCATCATTGCTCTATGTTCCCCACTGTGCCTGGGGCAGTGGAAAAACCCAGAAAATCCAGAGAAGGGGAGACAGACCTCAGATTCCCACCCCCAACACTCATAATGTGGGCAGCTAGGGAATGTTGCAGTTTAGCCAGGAAAATGATTGAAGGGTTGGCTACAGGACCTAGTAGGTAAAGCTGCTCTAGATAAGAAAGTAGGAAGACCGTTCCCATTGGGCTGGGGTTTGTTAAGTCATCATAAGAAGGTGTGGAATCTCTTTGGGGGGAAAGCATTAATAGGACCAATCTTGCTCTGTAAAGAATGGACTTTAGGGGCTTCCCTTCCCTGGTGGTGCAGTAGTTAAGAATCCGCCTGCCAATGCAGGGGACACGGGTTCGAGCCCTGGTCCGGGAAGATCCCACATGCCACGGAGCAACTAAGCCCGCGAGCCACAACTACTGAGCCTGCGAGCCACAACTACTGAGCCTGCGAGCCACAACTACTGAAGCCCGAGCACCTAGAGCCCATGCTCTGCAACAGGAGAGGCCACAATGAGAAGCCCGCGCACCGCAAGGAAGAGTAGCCCCTGCTTGCCGCAACTAGAGAAAGCCCGCGTGCAGCAACGAAGACCCAGCACAGCCAAAAATAAAAAAAATAAAGAATAGACTTTAGGAGGAGCTTCTCTCAGGAAATGCAATGAGCCTGGCTTCAAGGAGTCCATGGCTCTGTGAAGGTCATTAACTCAGCTACTTTGGAAAGCTGGAATTTCTAGCTTCCAAGGATGTTATTCCACTGGAAGAAAGCAGCCAGCTCCTGACCAGGAGCACCCCACCTGGTGAGAGAGGAGAGGGACTCTGCAGAGAAGGGATCAACTCACCAAGGAGGCTAACAGGGACTCAGCTCCGACAGTGACCCGAATGTAAACATTAGTACACGATGAGGAAGGGCCTCAAACCAAAAGGAACCACTGCAGATCAAGCAGGGAAGCCTGGACACTGGAAATCTCCTGTTTCTCACTCTGACAGAAAGGAGGGCTTCCGGAGCTGGCGAAGGTGGTGACGATGGAGCAGGCATCCTGGATTCCAGTTACCAAAGGTGCAGCCACGCAGTTTCTGGGATCTCTTCCTGCCACAGATGGAAATTATTTCCCGAGGGCTGACGACGACAGCGAGATCTTTTGCATAGGGCTTTCCCCCATTTCTTCTCCGCCAGCCCCTTCCCAAGCGCCTCAGGCCTGGGTCTGGGAATGCCGGCCCGGACCGGAAAGGGAGGCCGGAGGTAGCCGTCCCAGAGCGCCCGACCCACCCTCGGGTGCCTGACTTCGCTGAAGCGTCCTCCTGACCTGTCCGGGCCTCCGGGAATACGGGTGTACTTCTAGGGTGCGGGGAACCACAGGAGGCTGGACTCGGTGGATCCAGCGGCCCGGGGCAGGGCGCCCCGGCCTCTGAGCCCCTTTGGGCACCAGGCTGAGGGAGAAGAAGGGTCGGGGATCCCGGGGATGCGGATAGGCGGTCCGGAAGCTGGGGCTGGACAGGCGCACCGGGCGTGGGCGGAGCCGGCGGCGCTGGGGTTAATGTCCGCCCCGCCCCGGCCGCGCTGACTCAGTTTCACTAGAAACTAGGGGGGAGGAGGTGGCCGATCGCCAGCGCACCGCACACCGGGGCGGAAGCTGCGGCCCGAGCCGCGCAGGAAGCCGGGACCGGAACCTCGGCTGGCCCGGCCCCACCCCACTCACCTGAGCAGGTAACCAGGGCCGAGGTGAGCGAGCGAGGAGGTGAAGTGGGTTCTGAGCATGTTTGGCCCTTTGTTCCCTGCTCGTGCGTGTGTCCGGGTACGTGAGTTCCTTAGACGTCCGTCTGGCCGTCCGTCGGGCTGTCGGGTCACCGGAGTGTGCGTGGGAGGACCGGGCCCGCGTGCCCCTCTCCACTCCCGGGGTGCTCGGTGCTTCCCAGTCCTCCCCTTAACTTCCTCCCGGCCCGCCCGCCTACCTTGAAGTCTCCCGGCTGATCCGGTGTCTCCTCCTCCGTCCCTTCCCCTCTCTCAGGTCGCTATCACCCTCGGAGGTCAGGGGCCCGCACTGTGAAGGTGACCGCCGTGGGGAGGAGGGCGACGGTCCCTGGGGGGATGATGGCCGGGGCCCGCCTCTCCCAGGCCCGCATCCCAGCGGTCGCCGTGTGGCTCCTTTGCTCGCTCGGCCTTCTGGGCACCGAGGCCGGGCCGCCGCCCGTGCCCCCCAGTCTGCTCACGGCCGACAACTGCCTGGACCGCTTTACCCCCGGGGTGCCTGCCTTCGTACTCGACACTGACGCCTCGGTGAGAAACGGCGCCACCTTCCTGCGCTCCCTCACCGTGCGCCGCGGCCGGGACTGCGTGCACGCCTGCTGCAGCTCCAACGACTGCAATCTGGCGCTGGTGGAGTTGCAGCCCGACGGCGGGGAGGACGCCATCGCCTCCTGCTTCCTCATCAACTGCCTCTACGAGCAGAACTTCGTGTGCAAGTTCGCGCCCAGGAAGGGCTTCATCAACTACCTCACGCGGGAGGTTTACCGCTCCTACCTCGAGCTGCGGACCCAGGGCTTCGTAGGTAAGGACGAGGGTGCCAGGATTCGGGGAAACTCAAGAGAAGGGACTGGTTATGGAGTCCTGCGCGAGGCATCAGAACGCAGTTAGGAGGAAAGTCCCATTCGACCCCAACTCCTCCTTAGAAGTAGGCGGTACAAACAGTAAATAAAGGACAGCCTACAGGAGTGGAGAGGGCTGACACCCTAGAGCACAGACTGGCTCCTGAATTCAGGATGTTGAGTGGGTTGGTGCTCTGAGATGTGTGTACAGGAGAGAGGACGCAGCTTCTCCGGATTCTCACTTCTGGCCCCAATAGGCCCAGTCAGGGAGTTAGCTGTCTGGAGGCCACCTGGTGACTAGATAGATAGAAGATACGCCTGGCGCCTTGGCGGAGCACTGTCCTAGGCACCTTGGTGCCCTGTCAAATGAACCTGGTGAAGGATAGGTTCCTTCTCTGCTGCTGGGCTTGGGATTGGTTATAGCATCTCTCTGTACTCCTCCCCCCACGAGCTGATTTTTTGGTGGTCTGGGGGAAACTGCCAGGCCCCCAGAGTCTAAAGAACAAGCCCAGTCTGGGGGTGACCCAACTGGGGAGGGGGCGGTATTGAGGGCGCAGTAGCCTAGAGCCTCTGGGGTGGGGGTGAGGAGGGTTGCTGTGTGAGTCAGCCCACTGGTATGTATACCTGGTAGGGAAGGGATGTCAGCTGTCCAGGCAAGTGTGTGTGTGTGTGTGTGTGTGTGTGTGTGTGTGTGTGTGTGTGTGTAAGACAGGCAGGGCTCTCCCTGCTCAGGATCTGGTAACCAACCTGTCTGTTCACCTTGTTTACTTCCAGAATAAGGGCAAAGTCGGGCCCAAGGCTCCTTCTCTTTCCTCCTGGGACTGAACAGTTAGCTAGGATCAGGGCCCCTCCAGAGACCTTCAGTCCCCATTCTCTCCACCTGCTGTTGTGGCCAGGTGGGGCTCCGGGGCAGGGATGGGTCACTCTGATAACCTCTCTTAGCTCTCTACAGTTTGCTGATTGCTATGCCACTCAGCCTCTCACTTAGGCATCATGACAACCACCTCTGAAAAGGGTGTTATTAGTAGTCATCCCACTTTTAGATTAGGAAACTGACTCCCATGTTAAATGGATAAAGAAGGTGTGGCACATATATACAATGGAATATTACTCAGCCATAAAAAGAAACGAAGTTGAGCTATTTGTAATGAGGTGGATAGACCTAGAGTCTGTCATACAGAGTGAAGTATGTCAGAAAGAGAAAGACAAATACCGTACGCTAACACATATATATGGAATTTAAGAGGAAAAAAATGTCATGAAGAACCTAGGGGTAAGACAGGAATAAAGACACAGACCTACTAGAGAACGGACTTGAGGATATGGGGAGGGGGAAGGGTAAGCTGTGACAAAGTGGGACAGAGGCATGGACATATATACACTACCAAACGTAAGGTAGATAGCTAGTGGGAAGCAGCCGCATAGCACAGGGAGATCAGCTCGGTGCTTTGTGACCGCCTGGAGGGGTGGGATAGGGAGGGTGGGAGGGAGGGAGACGCAAGAGGGAAGAGATGGGAACATATGTATATGTATAACTGATTCACTTTGTTATAAAGCAGAAACTAACACCATTGTAAAGCAATTATACTCCAGTAAACGTGAAAAAAAAAGTAATGGGTCAATGAAGAAATCAAAGAGGATATCAAAAAAATACCTTGAGATGAATGAAAATAGAAATACAACTTTCCCAAATCTGTAGGACACAGCAAAAGTAGTTCTAAGAAGGAAGTTTATAGCAATACAGGCCTACCTAATGAAGCAAGAGAAGTCTCAAATGAAAAGTCTAACTTTCCACCTAAAGGAATTAGAAAAAGAAGAGCAGAGGCAAAAATTAGCAGAAGGAAGGAAATAATAAAGATCAGAGCAGAAATGAATAAAATAGAGACCAAAAAACAATAGAAAAGATCAATGAAACTAAGAGCTGGTTTGTTGAAAAGATAAACAAAATTGATAAATCTTTAGCCAGACTTGTCAAGAAAAAAAAGAGAGGGGGCCCAAATAAGTACAATTAAAATGAAAGAGGAAAAGTTACAATCAATATGACGTAAATACAAACAATGATTAGTAATAATAATTTGCCCAGGATAACACTGCCCACAAATGGGAGACCTGGGACTCAACCCCAGGCAGGACCTCCAAAAGTCCTGTGCTGTTCTTCACACAAGACCACCTTTCTGGTAAACCTGTCTCTGATCCAGGACAGCTCAGTGGACAACAGAACCAGAGACTGGGGCGCCCAGGGGCCAGGATTGGAGTGGAGCTGGGTGATCTCAGTCCTGGAAAGTAGAAAAGGGACTTTCCTCTCCAGCCTTTCCTCTTCTCCCTATTCTTCCAATAGCTCTGGATCTCTGAGGAGAGGTAGGGTGGAGATTCCGGGAGGGGGACAGTGTCTCTGGGCCAGGCTGGGCCACTGAGTCCCGCTGGGCCAGGGCCTGAGCCTGTTCCACAAGGAAGCAGCGGAGTGTAGGTGGTGATGACTCTAATTGACCTGAGCTGCCTGCCCTCCCTGTTCTGCCAGGACCCCTCACTGTAGGGCTAGTGCCTGAAACTCTGGGATCTGGTCAGGAAGCTGAGCTGGATGGGGCCTTCCTCATCTGGAAACCTCCCCACCCCCTGACTGGCCTGGTTGGCACAAGACAGGATGGAGTGGGGATTTCCTGGGACCTGTGGGGAGCTGGGTAGACCTTGGACTTAGTGTGGGCCCCAGGCCATTTCAGGGCAACGCAGCGTTTTGGGGAGTGGGGGATGCCATGTGCATGTCAAGGAGTCCATTCTCAGCTGAGTCCTATTAGAGAGGTTGGAAGTACAAAGAGGGTACAAAGAGGGTCAAGCCACTGTGGCATCCTGGAGGCTAGGCTAGGGTAGACCGAGGCAGGCAAAGTGGGCAAGTGCTCAGGGCTTCTAAAACCTTTGATTTACTGGGGAGAATCCTCCCCAGGGTGGGTTGATCTGTTCCCCCTTTCCCTGCCTATGGCCAGGCCAGTCCAGTCCAGTCCAGATTGCTGGGGCCTCCTGAGCACCCTGCTCTTTCCTCCTCTCCCCTTCCCCCTCTTTCCGTTGGAGGAGTGGCTTAGAAGGTGGAGTCTGTGTTTCCCTTGAGAGTCCTGAGGCCTGGCAGCTGGGGGAGGGGCTGGCTTTATTGCTCCTCTGGCCCTTTGCTCTCTTGGGGGTGGGAAAAAGGGAGTAGTGGTAGGGCAGGGCACCTGCCCCTTGCTCCTGGGGGCTGGGGCTTGGAGAGGACCAGCTGTGTGTGGGTGGACATTGCTGATTTGGCCCAAGATCTGCCGTGCCACTCAGCTTGCCACTTCCACCCTGGGGGCCAGTGGGGCTAGCCTATCTTTCTGCTAGTAGACTGCCAAGTAGTCTGTCTCCTTTCCCCTTTGTGACTGCTGATTACTTTCTGAAAAATGCAAGGAGGGAGGAATGGGGTCCTCCCAGCTCACTGCCCCCTTGGCTTGGCCTCTCACCTCAGGGCCTGGGGATGGCCCCTGTTGGGCCCTTAAGCCACTGGGCTGGGGCTTGGTTCCAAACAGGTACTTTCCTGCTCTCCCGGTCTCTTACTTCCCCTCAACCGACGTTCCCTTTTCTCATTCCCGTAGCCCTCTGCACCATTGGATGTGTTCCTCTGTGGAAGTTCTCCCCTCCCATCCCTTTGCTGTCACTGTCTGTCCTGGTCTTCTCACCTCTGGGACCACCCTCTGAGAGTTCCCTGTTGGCTCTGCTTGCTCTGCCTCATCAAAGAGGAATCTCTGTGACTCAGCCTCCTACCAGCTGTTCTTATCTCTTTACCTTCTCTTCTTTGAACTCTTAAACTTGATGTAACCCTCTGCAGAGCTTCTGTGGAGGGCAGTTGGGCAATATCCACCCAAAATGTAAATGCATATAACCCTCAACATGACTCCACTTGCAGGAACTCATCTTGCGGCTATGCTTAAACATGTGTAAAACAACTTACCAGGCAATCAGTCACTGTACCATTGTTTATAAGAGCAAAGAATTGGAAACAAGCTCAGTGTCTGTCAACACATCCTATAATTGGATACTGTGGTGCTGTTTTAATCATAACAATAAACCCTGAGGTAGCAAGGGTTAGTTCTTAGTAGGGAGGGAGGGAGAGAGGAAAGAAGGAAGGAAGGAGGAAAGGAAGGAAGGGAGGGAGGAAAGAAGGACCTACATCAAGAGAGACTAGACTGATGGACTGGTTAAATGTGTTGTAAATTTTGGTGCATTCATACAGTAAGTACTATGCAACAACAAAAAAAAAGGAAGAAGAAGAAGTTCTTTATATATTGCTATGACTGATTTCCAGTATATATTAAGGGAAAAGCAAGATGAAGAACTAGCATGCTTGTGAATATTCTATACACTCTCTCTTGATACTCACACATACACACACACCCAAACTAGTAATTGAGAATGCCTCTGGAGAGAGGAACCTGGGGGTTTAAGAATCAGGGACTTAATTCTCACTACCCTTTTGTATTTTTTGCATATTTCATCATGTACATGTATTACCTAAGCTAAAAACAAAAACAAAACCCAAAGACTATAAAGATTATTTAAAGAATCACCCTTCTAAGCACATATGGCCTGCAGCATGGTGTTTTGATGTTTTGGAGAGAGCATGAATCAGACCAGGGTTCAAACCCCAGCTCTGCCGTTTTGAAACTGAGCGACCCTGGGCAAGTCATTTAACCTCTCTGGTGTCAATTTGCTCATCTGGAAAGAGGGACGAGAATGCAGTTGTGGCAGGATCTATCCAGCCCAGCCGGTCTCCTCAATGTCCACCTAACCAGTCTTACAAATTCCCAACTCCTTGCTTTGGCTCATCATGTTTTCTGCTGTCATCAACAACACCAACATTCTTCCCCACAACCAAACAAATAAAAACAAAAGGATCAAAAAATCCTTTCTCCCTTCTTCACAAAGCCTTGCCTTTTTCCTCTAGCTTGCTGTGGTCTTTCCCTTCTCTAAACATCCACTTCCTTTTCTTGTACATGTATCACACAGCCCTTCATCTTGTTGGGTCTTTCTCCCATTTTGCTTCCTGTTGTTGGGTCTTACCTGCCTAACTGGACCGTAGTACCCTCAAGGGCAGTGTGTCCATTTCCTAGGGCTGCTGTGCCATGTTACTACACCCTGGGTGACTGAAGACACTAGAAATGTACTGTCTCACAGTTCTGGAGGCCAGAAGTCCAAACTCAAGGTGTCAGCAGGGCCACACCCGCTCTGAAGACCCTGGTTGGGGGAGGGTATGGTTGCCTTGTGCCCCCTTGTAACTGGAGGCAGAGTCTGTCTGAGGTGGCAGAGGCACCCTGCTCCTGTGCCAATCATCATGTGGGACACCAATGCTTGACATGGTGCTGCCCGGGGCTCTGCTCAAGGTCTCTGTCCGGATGGGCTTCTTAGCAGTGATATGGGCTGCAGAGCGAGGGGTGATGGTGTTAATTACACATTGACTTATTTGGCTTTTCAAAAGTATCGTTACTCTTAACTTTTTAAAGCAATTAGCACAAGTACCTGCTTATTGTAGAAAACAAGAAAAGTCCCCCTTCCAAATATACGTGCATATATTGATATATATATATATAGTGTGTATATATATTGTATATGTATATTGATATATATAGATATATATATCAATATATATTGATATATATATCTATATATATTTTTATTTTTTTCCTAAATGGGATTAGATGGCAATGCTGTTTAGTTATTTGCTTCAGAAAGTTGGTTTTACAACATAAAAATGTCTTAAGTATGATATATCTAAACAGAGGGCAAGAAGATGGTTTAGTTGTGAAATCGCCTCTGTGTCTCAGGCAGGCTGCCGAGTCCTAGGTTGGTCTAGTTGCGGCCCATTAGGCACCAGCCCCCCACTCTAGGAGAGATCCTGTCCATTCAGTGAGAGTTGACCTTATCTCACCTTCCTCCCAGGGTCCCGGATCCCCAAGGCCTGGGAAGGCACAGACTTGAAGGTACAGCCACAGGAACCCCTGGTGCTGAAGGGTGTGGAGAACACAGATTGGCACCTACTGCAGGGTGACACAGACGTCAGGGTAGAGGTGCGATGCTGGGCTGGCTCCCTGACCCCCACCTCAGCTCTCCAGGGCCCCCTTTCTGGGGCCGTAGGCCAAACTGTGGCTCCAGACGGGGTGGGGTGGATAGAAGCTGAGGATCCATTTAATACCAAGTCCCTCGGCTCCCCGCAGTGGGGCAGGGGGGCTGACCGGGAGGACCTGGGGCCAACCAGGGCCATCAAGGGGTCCCAGCCTGATGGCCACTCCTGTGTTTAGAGGAATGATCCAGACCAGGTGGAGCTGTGGGGACTCAAGGAAGGCAGCTACCTGTTCCAGCTGACGGTGGCTGGTTCAGACCAGCGAGAGAGCACGTCCAACATCACAGTCACCGTGCTGTCCCCCAAGCAGACAGAAGGTGAGGAAGGGGGTGGGGAGGCAGACCCAGGACTCACCCACACCCTGCACCCTGCTCCGGCTCTGCCGATTAGCCCTCGGAGCTCCCTCACCAGCTTTCCTTCCCCCAGAATATTGCCTTGCATCCAGCAAGGTGGGCCGCTGCCGTGGTTCCTTCCCCCGCTGGTACTACGACACCACAGAACAGATCTGCAAGAGTTTTGTTTATGGAGGTTGTCTGGGCAACAAGAACAACTACCTTCGGGAAGAAGAGTGCAAGCTCGCCTGCCGCAATGTGCAAGGTGGGCCTTTGTGAAGCAGTGTTGGGGCTCAGGTGACATTCCCCCAGGGTAGGTGTTCTCTCCTCACGGGTCAGGGAGGTAGGCGTGGGAATCCCCCGTCCCCGGGCCCCCTATCAGCTCATCCCTCCTGGGGCCTGGCCCTGCCTGTCACTTCTCTGTTTTTCTCTCCCAGGCCCCTCAGTGGAAAGGCATCATCCAGGTGGGCTTTGCTTCTGTCCCTATTCCCCTCACCCCTGCTAGCTCCCCAGCCTCTGTCAAGTCCAGGCCCCTGACCACACTGCCCTGGCCCAACAACCCATTCCTACCATCAGAATGAAGGCCCACGAGTGCCCCAGCCCTTGTAGCCCAGGATCCTCCTATCAGCCTCTGTCCGTTTTGTGTTAGGAGGGTATAAGGGACAGGGGTGGAAAGGGAACCGGGGTTGTGTCATGATGCCACCTTGGGGTAGAGAGGGCCAAGTAGATGATGGACTCTTGGTATTTGTTGGCCGCTGCTTGAGCCTGACCTCACCGTCCACCCTGTCCCTCCCCCACCCAGTGTGCTCTGGCACCTGTCACTCCAGCAAGTTCCGCTGCAGTGATGGCTGCTGCATCGACAGCTTCCTGGAGTGTGATGACACTCCCGACTGCCCCGACGCCTCCGATGAGGCCACCTGTGAAAAATGTGAGGACTGGGGGTTGGAGGGCAGTGGGCGCAGCAGGGGAGGTCCAGACCACTCACCCCACACCTCTGGGAAACCCTTGTCAGGTCTGCGCCTCTGATCTTTCATCTTTGCAGATACCAGAGGCTTCGATAAACTCCAGAGGATCCATTTCCCCAGGGACAAAGGTGAGCTCCTGCCCAGGTCCCCTGGGTCAGGGCTGGCACTGCTCTCCTCACTCATCCCATCAATGGGCCAAAGGCCTGCTGTGTGTACCAGGCTGTGGGCAGAAAGCTGGGTGGGGCGTGTCCTGGACTTGCCTTCTATGTTTCCCAAGCATCATACATCCTCTTAACACGTTCAGAAATTTAGCCATGCCTACATATCACTGAGATGTTATTGATTTAACTTAATGTATTAAAAAGGAAATTTCATGTCACTACCGTAAATGAAAAGCCACTATTATATGCCACGATCTGAGACTGACTATTAAAATAAGTATAATAGGGACTTCCCTGGTGGCACAGTGGTTAAGAATCTGCCTGCCAATGCAGGGGACATGGGTTCGATCCCTGGTCCGGGAAGATCCCACATGCCGTGGAGCAACTAAGCCCGTACGCCACAACTACTGAGCCTGCGCTCTAGAGCCTATGCGCCTAGAGCCCGTGCTCCACAACAAGAGAAGCCACCGCAATGAGAAGCCCACACACCGCAACGAAGAGTAGCCCCCGCTCACCACAACTAGAGAAAGCCTGCACACAACAACGAAGACCCAATGCAGCCAAAAATAAAAAAATTTATTTTAAAAGAATAAATAAACAAGTATAATAAAACGTGGTAATAAATTTTAGCTGGGCATTGTTGTCTGCCAAGGCTCAGACCCTTAGCCTTCTTTGTTAAAAGGTAGACTATCCAGTGCTAGAGAGAAAACCAAGACCTTGATAGAATTGGGAATGCTGAAAGAAAATTGAAAAATATATGAGTCAAGTCTAGGGTGATTCTGGGCCTAAGCTTACTCTCCTCTATCTTCCTTGCAACACTTTAGATGAGCCAGATATTTCTGGGGCCCCAGGCCCTCATTGAGTCACAGCCATCCTCAACATGAGGAGGAGGGTCAGGAGGTGGTGGGCAGCAACGATGTGGAGCCTGGTGGTGGCAGGGAGGCCACGTGGACACTCACCCCTTTGCCTGCTCCTTACCCCCCAGGCCACTGCGTGGACCTGCCAGACACGGGCCTCTGCTTGGAGAGCATCCCCCGCTGGTACTACAACCCGTTCACTGAACGCTGCGCCCGCTTTACCTATGGTGGTTGCTATGGCAACAAGAACAACTTTGAGGAGGAGGAGCAGTGCCTTGAGTCCTGTCGTGGCATCTCCAGTGAGCAGGGCAGTGGGGGGCGGAAGATGGGGAGGGGAAAGGCTTAGCTAGAGCATTTGGCTCTGTCCCAAGGCCTGGGCTGGTCACACCTCGTCCTCAGAGCACCCGGAGTAGGGGTGGGAAAGGGTGGCATTGGGTCTGGGGCACTGCTGAAGAGCAGCTGTGTCTTTGAACCCTTCATATTGACTTGTCTCTCCGCGACCCCCGCCTTGATCATTTTGTAGAGAAGGATGTGTTTGGTCTGCGGCGGGAAAGCCCCATTCCCAACACAGGTAAGCCCCCATCTGCCCTGTCACCACTGAGTAGGTATCAACTCAAGGATCAACTCACACAATTGGTTGTGACTGCCTAAGCCAGTGCTGGGAAGGATCCTGAGGTTGGCTGAAGGGACAGAGTGCCACGATCAATAATGGTATCTGCCAGGGGCGAGGGAGAGAAGCATAAAAATGCATGCCAGGTGTGTGTGCTGTCAGCACCCCGGGCCTTCCCCCACACTACCTGCAAGTAGCGCAACCTGGAGCCGAGACCCGAAGCCCATCAGAATCCCTCTCACCGAGCTCCCAACGGAGCTGACTGAGCTGCTCACATGCCCGAGGGCCGTCCACGCCCGGCATCCATTTGCCTTGACCCTTACAGAGTTGGGGTGGGCGTCAGAACTGAGCAGGCCCTGGGAGCACCTCATTCAGCTCCTTCTTCCTCCAGACTCGGTGGAGGTGGCCATTGCAGTGCTCCTGGGAACCTGCATCGTGGTGGTGGTAGCCATCCTGGGTTACTGCTTCTTCAAGAACCAGAGGAAGGGCTTCCACAGACACCGCCACCACCACCCCCCACCCTCTACCCCCACCAGCTCCAAGGTATCCACCACCGAGGACATGGAGCATCTGGTCTACTACCAAACAACCCGACCCCTCTGAGCCTGAGGCTCTAGAGGGCTCTAGCCAGTTCTCACCTGGCCCCGCTTCCTCCTTGCCAAGGTGGAGGCCTGGGCTGAGGAAGACTTTGGGACCAGACTCCTCCAGCCTGTTTTCCAGGCCTATCTGCCTCCAGACCCTCTTGGAGGTGTCTCAGCTAAGCTCAGGCTACTTGTTCCTGAGAAAGCTCAAGGGTCTGCAAGGAGCAGAAAACCTTTGAGCCAGGAGTCCCACGCATGGTTGGACCCGTCTGCCTAGGACTTCAGAGGAAGTTGGAATTTTGCTTCCTGTTCAGAGCTGCCTGCCCCCATCCCACAACCTTGAGAAGAGGCCTGGGGTCGCATCAGAGGCTGGAGGCCCCAACTCCCGTCCTCCAGAGCTGCCCCTCCCACCCTGCAAAGTCCAGGGCTGGGGTGCGGGGGAGGACGTCCCTGTATATTCTGTGTTGTACAGAGCTGCTTTCTGTTTATTTAATGCCATGCCGGGTGGGTGAGAGGAGTGGAAAGTGGCTCTCTGGCCGCTGCCGCCTCTTCCCCTTCCCCGCGGAGTGAGCCCCAACCTGGCCTGGCCTGGCACACAGCCAGATCCTCGGCACCCCCCAGGGCCCTGCTGCTCCCCTACTTCCCACCGGCCCCAGTCCACCCACAGTGTAATAAAGTGATTTGTCCTGTGAGTCTCCTGCCTCTGCTCTGTGGGCCAGGAGAGGGACAGAGCTGCAGGGGGAGATGGGACTGCCTCGTCCTACCGGTTCAGGCTTTGGTCACCCTGTTAAGCAGGTTTTCCCGCCCTTCCCGAAACTGTCCTAGCCCCAGCCCCTGAGGGTGGGGAGATGTGCCAAGTCTGACCGCCAGGGGGTGGGGAGGGGAGAAAGGGCCGTGGGAATAGGGGGCCTAGGGAGGCCACAGAGCACCGTTTCTTACGGGTTTGAGCCTGCAGTGTGTAGTTGAGGATGGGGGAGGGGGGTGGGGGGTGCATAGGCTTGAACCCTGGTTCTTTTTTTTCCGCGGCATTTGGGAATCTTAGTTCCCTGACCAGGTATGGAACCCAGCCAGGCCCCCTGCAGTGGAAGCACGGAGCCCTAAACACTGGACCGCCAGGGAAGTCCCCTGAACCCTGGTTCTTATCTCTGCTCCCTTTGGTGTGGGTGCAGGGGTCCCATGTGGCCACCCACAGAAGCCTCTGCTTCTTTACCAGAGTATAGTTGCTCCCCAGTCTCTGAGGAGCAGAGGAGGAAGGAGCCTTTAGCTGAGGTGCTTCTCTCCAACACACACACGCCTGCATTTGTTTGAGCTACCTGCCTCTTGGTGCCCCCCCCCCAAAAAAGACAAAATCATCCCTTTAATTCATTTCTTCATTTTCTTTTTAAAAAAAATTTTTTTTTTTTTTTTTTTTTGCCCTGTCACAGGACATGTGGGATCTTAGTTCCCTGACCGGGGATCTAACCTGCGCCCCCTACAGTCAAGGCACAGAGTCTTAACTGCTGGACCGGCCAGGAAGCCCCCATTTCTTCACTTCTTCAACAAATTATTTATTGAGCTCCTATGTACCAGGCACCGCCAGTCATTAGAAATTTGGTTTTGTAAGATAAGCACATAGGAAGTACTATGTAAGTGCTTTACATATCTCAAGTGATTGCCTCAGCACACAACCCTGGGATGAAGGTACTATTATCCTCATTTTACAGGTGAGGAAACAACTCAGCAAAGTTCAGTTCCTAAGGTCCTACAGCTGGTGCCGGAGGACTGATTTAAACCCTTACATTATGGGTCCAGAGTCTAGCCTTACAAAAGAGACACTTTTAAATTGTGATAAATGCTATATAGAAAAATCAAACGGCAGTGTGAGAGGTTGGGGGCCACTTTTAAAGGATTGAAGGGCAACCTAGGTGAATGTCCATATTTGAGTCCTAAGTGCACGGCTCAATGAATTTCTGTAACTGAACACACCCAGGAGCCAAGCACTCAGATCAAGAAGCAGAACCTTATTAGCAGCCCAGGATGGGCCTCCTTTTGATGGGTAACTTTCTCACACCTTTGTGTTCTAGTACCTGTTGTACTCAGCCTGGACCACCTCCCCCTTTCTCATCTTTCAACCTAAACTCGAGTTCTCATTCCTGAAATCCTCCTGCATACACACGGCTGGGGGGCACTCCCTACTCTTCATCCCTGTGTCTGCTAACAGGACCTTCAGCACAGAGCACTCCAGCACAGAGCACCCCCTTTTCCTTTCCATTTACTTATCTGTCTTCCCACTGGGTTGTGGGCTCCTGGAGACACAGATGGTATCTTAAGTCACCTCTGGGTCTCCAGCACCCCACACCCCCTCTACGACCTTAGTAAATGGTGGTAGGTCAATAAGCTGAGTAGATGGCAGGGGGTGGGTCCCGTTACGGTGCTGTGGCTATTCCTATTTCATCAGGCACTGTATTTTTTTTTTTTGGCCGAGACACACAGCTTGTGGGATTTTAGTTCCCCAGCTAGGGATTGGACCTAGGCCCTTGGCACTGAGAGCACAGAGTCCTAACCACTGGACTTCCAGGGAATTCCCAGACACAGTATTTTTGCTTCCTACCTTGCCAGCCACTCATCCGTCCTTCAAAGCTCGAAATGGGCTCTATTCCTCTTCTGGTCTCCCCAGCACTGGGAACAGCCTTCATTATCCCTTGGTTCTCTATGAGCACTTCCGGGCTGAGGTCAATTCTGTATCCCAATGCCTAGAAGAGTAATCAACACATAATAAAAGCTTAATAAGTGTTTGTTGGACCAAAAGGAGCATCCTCCTCTTAGGGAGAGGTGGAGATGTAGTGAGATGATGGCAGACAAAGTGCCTTCCCTAGAAAGAGCTGCTGGGAGGGAGGAGGGCAGGGCTGAGTCAGCTGGGTGACAGGAGGTGGGAGCGCGGAGGAGCCGCTAGGGGGCGCGCTCACCACTGCTGGGCGCTGTCTTTGCTGCAAGGGTTGGATCCAGAGTACACAGTCCCAGGCAGGTGTCAGGTGTGGAGCAATAAAAGCTGAGACGCAGTGCCTGTTCTGCAGCTTACACTCTGGAGTGCAGGCGGAAGGAATGCAAATACTGTAACAAAACAATGTGGTCCCCAAACTACTGAGATGTCCCCAGCTGTTCTCTGCTCCATCCCCAGCCAAATGACTCCCTTTCTCAGAACTTTGATGCCTCCCAGGACTTCCCTGGTGGTCCAGTGGGTGAGACTCCGCGCTGCCAATGCAGGGGGCCCGGTTTCGATCCCTGGTCGGGGAAATAAGATCCCACATGCGTGGGGCAACTAAGCCTGCATGCTCTAGAGCCCGCATGCCACACCTAGAGAGCCCGCCTGCCACACTACTGAGCCTGCGTGCTCTGGAGCCCCCATGTCACAACTAGAGAGCCCCGCACGCCACAACTCCAGAGCCCACGTGCTGCAGCTACTGAGCCCGAGTGCTCTAGAGCCTGCGCACCACAACTAGAAAGAAGCCCATGTGCGGCAACAAAGACCCAGCGTGCTGCAACTAAGACCCGATGCAGCCAAATAAATAAATATTAAAAAAAAAAAAGACCCGGCACAACCTAAATAAATAGAACTGTCATGCCTCCTTTCTTTGCACAGGCAGTTGCCTCCACCTCAAATGCCTCTTTACCCCCTGGAAGGCTCCTACTTACCTTGTGATCCAGCTCAGAAAGCCTTCGCTGTTTCACAGCTGCCCTCTCCATTCTCTCACAGCTCTGCTGCATACATATGACCCATGTTAGCATAAGTCTACCCTCATAGGGACAAGGCTCCTCGGGGGCAGGGATGGGGACTGGGTCTTATTTATCTCAGTATCAACTGTGCTAGGATCTGCTTGTGCATACAAGGTACCCCACAAATGGCTGTTGAATAAAGCAGAGGCTGATCAAGCCGTGGAGATTAAGAGCTTCATGAAGGAGGTATAAAATGAGATGAGCAGGTGGGTGTGGGTGTTCCAAGCATAGCAAAATCATAGTGAGCAAAAGCTGGGCAGGGGAGATCATGGGTCTTATTTTGACTGGGGTCCAGCAAGCTGCTCAGTTTGTTTCAGGCCTTGAGAGGAAAAGCTGGGAGGCTGGTGGGTAGAGGTCACATTGGTGGGCACTTGGGGATTTGAACAGAGGGACAGGGGAAGGGGTAATCCAAACTCGGCTTTAAGGAGTATAGAGGTCACAACTAGAGGTCACAACACAGGGAGAGGGGAAGGAAGAGGATGCCATACCAAGTAAATCAGGGAGAGTAACCTGTGTGAAGTACACAGTAGATGTGCAGTAAAGGCTAGTTGGCAAGGTTGCATGCTGGCAGCCAGTTGGGCTGTGACCCAAACAGTAGTTTAATTTCTTTAATTAGTTACTAACAGTTAAAGAGTCAGGAAAGTTTATTTTTTTTAAATCCCATACCTCTAGCTTCTTGTGAAAATTTGGGAGACTGGCAATGGGGGCCCACATTCCTGCAGCAATTTAGGTCTTAGGTCCTCTTGAGCGCCTCAGGCTCTAACCCTCCCCAACCACCCTGCCACTCCCAAGGTTAGGTGCTTGCCTGGGCCCTCCAGGCAGTTTTATTCAAAACCTATTGGTCCCAACAGTTCAAATAAACATGGACAAAAACTGGGTTGTTTCTCCCAAACCCACCCTTGCCCACTTAAACAAAAAGCCCTGAATGAGGAGTGGTTTGCCCTATAGCACAAGACCGCTTCCTTCCCCGCCACCGCAGCTAGACTGAAGCCTGGGAAGGCACTGCTCAGCTCCCCCCACACCCCACTCCAAGGGTTGTGGTCAATGGCACCACCTAGAAACCCCAAACCCGGAAGCCTGCTTCAGCCCTGGGAGTGGCCCAGACTCCCCCGCAGGCTCTCCTTCCCCACCTGCAGTAGCTCCTGGGGTTCCATCAGCTGAGCCCAGAACAAAGAAGAACAAGAAAATAGACTGGGAAGGAAACTGAGAAGCCCCCTGTCATGAGGCTAAAAAACAACCACTTTTTTTACACAAAATTGGAAAAAGATATTTACCCAAATGTCCACAGTGTTCTCTTGTCATTGATAAAATTACAGGTAGTTGGGCTTCTCTGGTGGCACAAGTGGCTGAGAGTCCGCCTGCCCATGCAGGGGATATGGGTTCGTGCCCCGGTCCGGGCCCGTCCGGAGCCTGTGCTCTGCAATGGGAGAGGCCACAACAGTGAGAGGCCCGCATACCGCAACAAAAATAAAAAATTACAGGTGGTTTTTACTGTCTTCTTTTTGTTGACCTGCATTTTAAAAATTTTCTACAATAAATATTTATTGCTTTTGTAATATGAAAAAGGTGTTTTTTGAAGAGGTATTGAGATCTATTTCAGAAAGAAACAGATCATCAGACGAGGAGGCTCCCAGGTGGGATAGAGACCATGGAGCTGGAAAAGGAGAGATAGCATCCTAAGCCCTGGGGAAGGGAGAAGCTCTGAGACCTGGTGACTGACTGGCTCATGCAGAGGGAGAAGCTGAGTCAGTGGGGCCTTCAGGTTTTCTGTCCTGGGAGCCTGGCAGTGCCACCAATAGAAACAGGGCTGACGGGAGGGGGGTAGCTTCAGGAGAAACAGGCAGAAGGTGAGGGATCATCAGGTACCAGATGGAGGCTAGTTTTATTGATTTTATTGCGGGTTACTTAGTTTTTGTTTGCTTTTGCCTAGCCTTACTGG